TCTCTCTCTCTCTCTCTCTCTCTCTCTCTCTCTCTCTCTACCTTTCTCTCATTATATTCATTGAATTGATGTTGTCTCGCGTTTTACCGGTGTTTGTGTATGTGTAATCGAGTTTTCACTTTATTTTTAACGTTCGATACGAAACTTGCATACACACACTTTTCACACGTCTCCTTGCCATCTCGTCCCCCCTATTCTGTATCTCTCTCTGACACGCACGCACACATTCACTGACACCCCACCATGCAACTAACCTATTTTCACTCTATAGCCTGAATAATTTCGCCTATCAAACGACGAAAGAAAAAAAAATCAAACACATTTTAAGTGCGAATCATTCGCTTTCTAATTTCCTGTGTGACAGTTTTCATGCTTTATCCAACCTGTTTTCACCTTGCGGGTTATAACATCTACAATGTTTTTCTTTTTTGTTATTTTTTTGTTGATTCTTCCCGTTTTCATGCTCTTGTGTTATCGAGTCATAATATGTCGATCGTGTGTAGTCAACAAAGTAGTCGCTACTGAGTTGCGACGCTTTGCGCTTGTTGCTTGATTTTCATCGGGACAAATGCTGTCTCGAGCCGCCGATGCAATTCAAGAGAATAGCGCAGGAAGCAAAAAAAAACCCTGAAAACAGCAACAACAAAAATATATACATGCATCAAGTATGCGTGCAACTAACATAAACTGTACATAATAATGTAAATATTTTTTTTTAGGTTTATGAAGTTTCGCTCGTTTTTTTTTGTGCCGTTCTTCTATGGTTCGATTTAAATTGAATCAATATTTATGCATGTTTGTGCAAAATCGTGTCTCGTCCCGATGTTGTTGTTGATGATGATGACGAGTTGAAAGCTTTTTTTTCTCTTATTATTCAACATAAACTTCACCGGATAACTTTTTTTCCCTGTCTCAGCCATTCATTCCTTCACGAAAATGAAACGGTGAATTTTCGCCTTTCTCTCGCCATGCACACGGGGGAAAATTGTGCGAAGCAAACCTTTTTGTAAATATGATGAAACACGTTTTTGTTCGACTCCCTTCGTGCAGACAGAGAAAAACGAAATAACCGACAGAATATTTCATTTAGTCATCCGGTGAATGATGAGATAATCCACACCAAATTGTAAATACACTCCTTTTTCAAAATAACATGCGTCGCTTGTTCACTTTCCATTCTAACAACTGAGCCAACAAAAAAAAAGTTTCCATTCATCTAACGGTTAATTCGTTAACTGAACACATTTACAGAATTAAATTTACGTCCAATGTGTGTCGGCTAAGTGTTGAGTACACAGCACACTTTGATGTTGTTACATTGTGTATACAAAAGCACGGTGCTTGAATAGAAAATGTTGCATTCGTGTAACGTTGACAACACACATTCTATGCACTTGACACATTCTGTAAAGGAAATTCTTGTTAACGATTATTATTATTATCACACACACACACTGTTTGGAAGTGTCCCTTAGAAAAATAGCTTAGAAAATAGTGAATTTTACCGAGATCACCCCACCACCACCCCGTCCTCTCGAGTTCGTGTGTCCACTGTCAACGTTAATGAACATGCATTTCTGGCTAACCACTCAATTAGCCGAAAATGAGAATCAACCAACACAAATCACAATCTCACAACAAATTCAGTCATTGAAAATAGTCACAATCCACTCATTTCTTTTTCATTTAAAAAAAAACTACACAATTCAAACAACTCTTTCTTTGTTCATTCTCTGAATATTTTGATTTCATTTGATTTTGATTTGTTTTTGTCTTCAAAAATTTGGTTTTGAAAAAAAAACGTTGACTCTAATCGAATTGTTTGATCTCATGAAATGTTTGTGCGGCGAATTCGTTTGTTGTTGCGAACCGATAGATTTTAACGCAAGAAGATTGGAATGTTGTGCTTTTCAATGGCATGGAAAAGACTAGCCACTGGGCGGCATTGTATTTCGTTGCATTGATGACGTTCGGTAATTACGTGCTGTTCAACCTGCTGGTTGCTATTTTAGTGGAGGGCTTTAGCTCTGAGGTGAGTGTGCAGCATTCAACAGCACAATACCGTTTTGAAATGCTATTAGCACAACGAATTTAGACGAACGCACACATGAAAGTAGACAATGGAATTTAATTTTGTGCATTTTCACTCTCGAAACAGCGAAACGAACGTCGAGAGCGGGAACAACGTGAACTGGTGAAAAAATTGCGTGAAGAACACGAGAATTTAAGTGATTTGATGTTGGAGGACTATCGCAGTGGCACCGATTCCATCAGTTCAAGTGACAATTGCCAAGAGTCTCGCAACAAATGGCACAGCGCCGAAGATGTACGAAGTCGAAAAGTGAGCGAAGCCAAATTAATTAATATATTTTTAATTAAGTTTACCTTTTACGTTGAAAAATTCTTCAAAGTTTTTACTTGTGCATAAATTTAATTGGATCCACTTGAAAATTATCGTTGCTCTCACGTCCCAATTATAAAAAATCGATTCTCGTTTTTGCTACTATAGATACGAGCACAATTGCAAAAGGAGCAAGAGGAAAAGAGTGCAAATAATGCGACGCATCGTCAGACGCAAGCTATGGTTTATGTATATGTAAACAATGACACCCACTCCGATAATGAAATGTCGAAATCAAAACAAAGCATCGATGCTGACATCGATAAAATTGTTTTGGAAAACAAACACTTCAGAATGGTAACAATCATAATAATCATGTTAAATAGAATTAATCAGTTGTGCTAATATTGAATCAAACATTGTGGCTTGTGCAAATTTTGCAAACAACCAGAGCCAACGCGCGCGCGCGCGCACACAAACACAATTTGTGCGGAGCGCATGCGAAAAGTTTTTTTCTTTCTTGCATAATTTTTAATAATTTATATTTTAATTTGGCGTTTGTTTTGCATGAACAGTCGCCAAAAGATAATAATGCGGGTGGTTCGAGTCGAGGTCAACGACGTGGTGCAGGTAAAATGAATCCACCGATAATAACAACAACGGCTGCAACGCCACAGGATTCACCGATTGCCACACTGGCACATGGCATGAGCTTCAGCGAATGGGAGAACAATAATGCCCTGAAACCGCCATCGATTATGTGCGGCAGTGTGAAGGGACTGAATAATTTACTATTGCCCGAACCGTTTCCAAGCAAGCGGAAAATTGAAAGTACAACCACTCGAAATGCAAACACTTGCATCGATCTAGAGCCAAAAGCATCCGTATCGAATATTAAATTGGATCGAAAAGATTCGAACGAAGCAGGTAACAATCAAACGGGCACAAAATCCAAATCGACCAAGAGAAATTCGGTCAAGAAACGGTCAAGTGCAAAACGGAAAGATAAACCATCGTCAGCCAATTATGAAACGGATATGCTGAACAATGAACGCCTCGATTCACTCGGCAGCATGGACGTGATGCATAAATCTGGTAAACGACTTCAGAACAATACCAAAAACACGAATAAAATTAGCCCACGCGGACGTCAGTTTGATCCAAACGAATTTTATAACAATGCACCTAAATACTACAACAATCAGTCTATGGAACAACAACCAGAGCAGCAGGGGCATCAACGAATGTACGCTCACCGTGGTTCGACCGTTTATCGTCGTCGATTATCAACAATGGATGCGCAAGCGTTTAAAAATTTAGCCAATTTGGATCTCAAACAGTTGGAAATGTTGCGAGCAAGAGCTTTGCGCCGTGAAGAGGAATCGAAAGCTGCCGAAGCGGCAGCTGCTAAAGAGGCAGCGCTCGTTTCCAAAGGTTTCTTTCGCGAACCGATTAAATTCACAACGGCCGCTCTGCGAAAGCGTTTCGAAGTGCTGACCGAACATCGTGAATGCTATTCGATGTACATTTTCGCTGAAGAGAACAAATTTCGACAGGCATGCGATTGGTTCGTATCACAGAAATGGTTCGATAATGTCATTTTACTATTCATTGCGCTCAATTGCATCACACTGGCCATGGAGAGACCCAATATTCCGAATGGTGTACCAGAACGGTATTTTTTAACAACGGCCAACTATGTGTTCACGTTTGTATTTACGCTGGAAATGTTCGTCAAGGTAAGGCAATCATTTTCAACATTCCATCCATTAAAATCCGCAACATTTTTTCTGCCCCTCATGTCTGTGTGAATAATCAATCTAAAAGCGAACGAACAAATTACGAAAAATCCTTCACACACGTATTTTTTTTTATCTCTGTCTGTTTCGTCCCAATCACAGGTAGTTGCAACCAGTATGTTCCGTGGGCCTAATGCATATTTCAATTCAGGTTGGAACATAATGGACGGTTCGTTAGTCACAATTTCAATTATCGATTTGTTAATGTCGTTATTGAGCGATTCAAGTCCGCGCATTTTTGGAATACTTCGTGTTTTTCGTTTATTGCGTTCACTTCGGCCGTTGCGTGTTATTAATCGAGCGCCCGGGCTTAAGCTCGTCGTTCAAACGCTGCTGTCGTCATTGCGTCCCATTGGCAATATTGTGCTGATTTGCTGTACATTCTTCATAATATTCGGTATTCTGGGTGTGCAACTGTTCAAAGGAACATTTTACTATTGCGAGGGAATTAATGTGAAGCATGTGAAAAACAAAACGGATTGCCTATCGATACCTGGAAATCAATGGATCAATCGAAAATACAATTTTGATGATTTGGGCAAAGCGTTAATGTCATTATTTGTGCTGTCGTCACGCGATGGCTGGGTAAATATTATGTACACGGGCTTAGATGCTGTTGGTGTTGATCAACAGCCAGTTGTCAATTTCAATGAGTGGCGCCTACTCTATTTCATCGCATTCATATTGCTGGTGGGATTCTTTGTGCTGAACATGTTTGTCGGTGTTGTCGTTGAGAATTTTCATCGCTGTCGCGAAGAGCAAGAGAAAGAAGAGAAAATTAGACGTGCTGCCAAACGTGCCGTTCAAATGGAAAAGAAAAGAAAACGTAAGCATTCAAACTATGTCTATATATCCATGTACAAAACTTTCCGACTTAAAGTTAATGTAAACAAACACTTGTTCTGATTGAAATTTATACTTTTGGCTCTCTCTCTCTCTCCCCCTCTCTCTCTCTCTCTCTCTCTCTCTCTCTCTTCTATCTTCCCGTCATTGGTTTTTTTTCTATTTCCTTTGCACAGGTATGCATGAGCCACCGTACTACATCAACTATTCACCATTGCGGTTATTCGTCCACAACGTAGTCACGAGTAAATATTTTGATTTGGCGATTGCCGCTGTTATCGGTTTGAATGTGGTTACCATGGCATTGGAATATTATCGTATGCCTCTCATTCTTGAGTACGCACTGAAAATCTTCAATTATTTCTTTACGGCGGTGTTCATCCTGGAGGCAATTATGAAATTAGTTGCGCTCGGCTTTAAATTATACCTGAAAGACAAATGGAATCAATTGGATGTTGGAATTGTTATTGCGTCAGTCGTTGGAATTGTACTTGAGGAACTTGAAACGAAAATAATCCCAATCAATCCGACAATAATACGAGTTATGCGCGTTTTACGAATTGCACGCGTACTGAAATTGTTGAAGATGGCCAAAGGTATTCGAGCATTGCTCGACACGGTGATGCAGGCATTGCCACAAGTCGGCAACCTAGGTTTACTATTCTTTCTTTTGTTCTTCATATTTGCCGCGCTGGGAGTTGAATTGTTCGGTCGATTGGAGTGCTCAGACGAAAATCCGTGTCAGGGATTGGGGGAACATGCTCATTTTGCGAATTTTGGAATGGCATTTCTGACATTGTTCCGAGTCGCTACAGGTCAGTACTAACAATTTGTTCGGCAAAGAGGAATGCACATGATACGATGCTTCAGTCCCTCACTACTCAAACATAGTAACATTTGAGCGGTGTTGTCTAATGTTACACACTGGTAACACAGAGGTTGCTACGTTTACGCTTATGCATTTATGCTATAGATCTGAGGTTGAGATGTGCGCCCCTCTTTTATTATTTTTCCCAAGAAAAACTAACAACTTTCTTTCGTCTTCCTCTTCAGGTGACAATTGGAATGGCATTATGAAGGACACGCTTCGCGACGACTGCGACGATGAAGCCGATTGTGTGAAAAATTGTTGTGTGAGTTCGGTAATAGCGCCGATATTTTTCGTGATATTCGTATTGATGGCTCAATTTGTGCTCGTGAATGTGGTGGTTGCAGTACTGATGAAGCACCTGGAAGAGAGCCACAAGCAGATTGAAGATGACGAATTTGATATGGAAGAGTTGGAACGTGAAATGGTGCAGGCGCAAAAATTCGAAGAAGAACAAGCGTTGTGTTTGCAGCTAGAGGCAGAAGCCGTACCACGTCGACCAATGACTAAAGTACTATCATTGCCATCCAATTTCACGTATAGTTCGCCAATCATTTTAGAAAATCTTCTGAATTCGCAACGAAGACAAACGTTGCAGCTGTTTGGGGATGGAAGCCGTTTCTCGGACTTCAGTCGTCCACCGACCACCGACGAGCGAATGACTGAAATTGAATTGGGAGAATTGGGAGAGATAAAACCAAAGACTAAACGACGTCAATCGAGTACTGTGTCACGAGACAAAGAATCCGTCGCATCATTACGAACACCAAATGCCCGACCGAAATTTCACCGCGAAATATCATTAGACGAACGTCAAATGCCATCTTCGAGACCAAAACCAAAACTCGTCGACATAAAGCGCACCAGTTGTGATCAGTTGCTTGTTCGTGGCGATGATGAAACGACGAATTTCTACCACAAACCAAATGCCGCTAAACCGAGCGGTGATAAATCTACTGCTGGTGCTGGCCATAAAGTCAAGACCGACAAACTGACAGATTCAAAGGATTCAATTGTAATGGCCGCAGAACATGCGAAAGTATCATTGTATCGGCGATCCTCTTTGAACTATGGCAATTCAAAGAGTTCAAATGCAGCAAATACATTACGTTCATTGCCGAAGGCGCAATCAGTGTCGGGCCGATCGGGTAGTTGCCGACAGCTTTTCAAACAACATGCCATGGACGACGAGGCTGACATCGATGAGAATTCACTGCTGCTTCCAGTGCTGAATAAACCTCAAATTATCCAACACAATGACCCGAAAAATTCAAAAGAAACTAGCCTATTCAACAAAACCACCAATGAAACTGAGTGAAAAAAAAAACTGTCGATTTTAAGTTTACCTTTTTTTTAGAAGAAAAATAATAATATGCGAGTGAAATTTTATGCAATTGAATCGCGAGCGCACTATGCTGCAGTTTATTAAGCAATTTTCGAAAACGAACAACAAAATGGTTTTGATTGCAAAAAAAAAACAAAACAAATGGATACATTTTTAAACAAATTGGAGAATTTAAGTGATTTTTAATGCAGACAGATTATATTTAAAAAAAAGATTTAACATATTTATTTATCGGCGATGAAAAGCGAAGCTATCACCGATTATTATTAGTGTGTGGGGTGAATGCATTTGGTTTCTAGAAAACCAAAACAAATGGATTTATATAATACATGTTAAACGAGCAAAATCATATTTAATGATTATATATATGCATTCAGAAACCATTCGATACATATGTTAGGAATTTAGTGAATACTCACAATGAAACATACATTAGTAAGTATACACATACACACAAGGCTCTCTCTCTCACACTCACACACACACAAACAAGCAGAACAAATACGCATTCAGTTCTATTGACAAAATTAATGGAAATCTAACAATCAATACGAGAGAAAACATTTAAGCAAACTGTACATTTCGTATATATTATATATATTACAAACAGGAATTTGATAAGCAATCTATTTTACTAATTCTCTATCAAAACAACAAAAAAAAAACAACACTGGTTTCGAAAAATCTCACTTCAATGTGGTCAATCAACGGTAATGGAATTGTCTCTCTTTCTAAATATTTCGAATTTTTGTTCCCATGTCAACAGTTCTTTCGGAATTGATATCATGCTTTTCGCCAATGATGGGCATTCTCGATGGGATGCTTCAATGAAAAATGAAAGCTCGGTTGGAAATCAATGATTGTCAGAGCGGTCAACGAGCGCTCGTTCGTTCGTTCGTATGCGAACATGTTCGTTTGTTCGTTCGTTCGTTCGTAGAATCTACGAACATGTTCGTTCGTTCGT